ACTAAAATTTTGTTCCTTGAAAAGACTAATACAAGTTATAAATCTGCATCATATTCAACAAAAAATTAAGGAGCCTTAAGTTTACAAGTGGCAAAAGAATGCTAACAAGATATAAGAATGTAAGTAATGTAAGATATCAGTAATATTGTTCTCACAAGCCATTCCTGAGGAAACTACTAAAAAACATGCTTTGGACAACCAAAATGAACTCCAAAAATGACCCTAAGACATTGACATAAGAAGTAGTGGTAAGAATTCAAGATATAATTAAATGACTACATGAGAATTAAAATGAAGAGTAAAATATGTAATAGCTATTTGCTCTGCTCTGCTAATATGAGCACAGTACTTATATACAAATAAGAGAGGAGAACGGGAAGAATATATAAAAACACTTTTAAAAATATTCCTTAATTTTATTTTTGTTTTAGAATTGGTATTGTAATTCTGAGATACTGTCTATGAAACGTGAAATAAAACTAATGAGTAATTATGAGATAATCTAATTCTGTCATCCTCTATGTCCTTGATAATCAAGAGTCTTAATGGGGCAGGGAGGAAATACTGATGTCATATAGAAGAGATTAGGTAAAAACTTTATGTCCTGAATTTAAATGGAAAATATTAGAATAATCTCAGGCAAAATCCTCAAAACAATGAATAACTGCAGCAATGATTGTCATTGGAGTCTAGATTATGACCTTGAAACACCATTTCTCAATAAATAAACCAGGGCTTTTCAGAGAAAGTTGTTGATTTGGAATAGGACACATATAAGATGAGTTTGGAACAGCTTGTCATAGCTGAGAACAAGGGAGCTTTGCCAAAGATTACTAGAGTCTCATCAAAAGAACCTGTGGGCCAGTTTGACAAAGCTCCCCATTAGCACAGTTGGGATCATTTGACCTACCATACATATCATTGTAATGGATTGAAACCAATGAAGTCTGTTTAAATCTTTGAGTTCATAATGACATTTTTATAGTAATAATTGGTCGCCTTAAGAGGTTGATAGGAAACCAATTAATTACATAAAATTAAGTCAAGGTAAAAAAAACAAATTTATCTTGCCTTTTCCATATGAATTATACTAATGAGTAACCAAATAATACATGAGGAGAAGTACTTTATTATAAAAGTATTCCAACTAATAAGTGAAAAAGGAATACTTTTATGAACTGCATGAATCAATGATCTAAGCAATGAACATCAGTACTACTAACATCACAAAAAGAGAGACAACCAGACATTACGTGTCTGCCCATGAAATACTATGACCCCACCTATGGCCTTGCCAAAGGGATCAAATCTGAGTCTGATAAAACTCTGAATTCAGCTGCCAACCTGAAGGAAATACAGAAGACAGATGAATATGTGAACTATACCATGAATGTGCACCTAACAAAATCCAGACTTACAAAAACTATAGGTTAAATGGCTCAGGATCTTCAACTGTAAATGGAGAAAATGGAGAATCTGGATTTAAATATGTAAAAGACATTGCAAACAAAACAGCTAGATCTATTCATTGCTGTGCCCTTCAGCTCCAAATCATTTAACCACTAACTCTATGCAAATTGATTTGAACTTCCAGGCTCTTGAATTTCATGTTAAAGTGCACAGTTCTGGAAACATCTTTTAAATTAAAATTTTAAGACAAAAAAGGTTATCGCTATATGCTTGGACATTTAAATTTAATTTATATTTGATAATTAACTTAGCCAAAGAATGGTTATCTTGTGGAATTGAATGTATTCAGTTTACAAATGAATAAAACCACCAAAAAAGAGAAGCTTTTTAACTAATCTTTCTTTTCAATGCAACTCTATGTAAACATGTCACCCATACCCTTCATTTTAAGTCCTACATCTTTGATATGTTTATAAACAGAATGAGCAACTACTGACACCTTTCATAGCTGTAAATTTACAATTTCAGGTCTAAAATTACTATTATGAAATACATTTCTGTATTCCTTAAGTGTTTCAGGTGCCTGTTAGTGTCTTTTGGAACCAGGAGAGGGCACTGCAGAGCAGTGTAGCTCTAAGTACTTGCGACAGAGTCAGAAAATGTCCTTTACTAAAAGAAATGTGCAAAGCTATACTATAGAAATAAGAAAAACTGAAGGAATAACTAGATAATCACTACAGGCTTTTTTATTTACTACAAAACAAAACAGATAAAATATTTAACTAAATACATATCTAGGCTATCAAATGGAGATATATAGATGATAATGGATAGAGAGATATAGATGTAGATATAGGTATCTCCTTTCAAGAACATCCCAAAGCTGAATCTGAATCTCCTATTACAATATTTATTTTTTTTCACTACTTCTGCTGTTAGTGATAAAACCAGTTCTCAAATACTCCCTTGTACAGATTTAGAGTATATTTTATTTTAATCAGTTCAAGTTTAGGACAAAGGATATTCAATACAGAAATAATTTTAGAAACAATGTAATAAACATTATCCACAGTTTCTGAAAAGGTTTTTCCAAACATAAAGAACACTGTTTTAAGTACCAGCTGCTCAATTGCAGGGCAGTAGATAGGTGATTGAGTTCAGACCATCACCTTACACTAGGGAAAGATAACAAAGGCATGTCATCGTCTTGTGAAGATGAAATAAGAGTAATGGTACTCTAGGTCTTCTAAAACTTGCTGTCCCAGGCTCCCTGTGGCCTAGGCCTTTCTTATGTCTGTGTGCACTTAGGTATGGAAAGAGCAGAAGTGCCACCGTGATGGGACTGTTCGGCTGTGTGTTCAGTTTCCACAGTGACTCTAAACAGCATTCCTTAGATGTTCTGTCTATGCAAGGAAGTTAAATCAATGCCAGAAGTCACATCTTCAGGGGATGGGAGGAGATTTAAGAAAGTTTCATGATATATCATGGTAAACAGCCTTCTGTGTGCTACCCTGAATATGTAATTTCTAAAAATCTGACATCTACTCTTATCTTCTTGTCTACATATTATTCTCCTGAGTGTTCTAGTGAATAATGAAACCAATTCAGTTTTTCATTATTGAATGAAATAAGTGCCATCTTTCCCTGTGTGAGAAAATTTGCCAATGTGTTCAATGATCCTTACCTTTATTAGAGATTTTCTGTGAAATATAAAAATCATATTGTTAGGTTTTTTAAAATATATTTTTATTGATTTTTTACAGAGAGGAAGGGAGAGGGATAGAAAGTTAGAAACTTCGATGAGAGAGAAACATTGATCAGCTTCCTCCTGCACACCCCCTACTGGGGATATGCCCACAACCAAGGTACATGCCCTTGACTGGAATCGAACCTTGGACCCTTCAGTCCGCAGGCCAATGCTCTATCCACTGAGCCAAACCGGTCAGGGCCATATTGTTAGTTTTATGTTATCTAGGTTGTCAGTTGTGGCTTTTGAAAAGACCAATTTATGACCACCAGTTCTTCTCCAGCTATGGCTATATGGACATATTGGTTGACAGTACAATATTTGTTTATTGATGTGTTTGCAAATTGGAGCTCTGAAACTTTGCACCTCAAATTACTTAACTCTTGTTTGAAAGAAACTAGATGGTCTATTTTTACTGAATCCAGAATTGTTCTGTCTCCTGCTTTTCCTTTCCTTCCCTCAACTTTGTTTGGAACACGGTATGTTTTGTAGTGTTTCTTCCACTTGCCTTGCTTCAAGACTCACCTAGCTCAGCACTTACAGTGTGCACCGAATTAATTTGCCTTATGCATGCATTTCCAACTTCAGTCCTTTACTCACAGCATCCTTGGCCTCTAGAAATCTTAACTGTCCTTCAAGGCCCACCATAATTTCCACTTCTCCAATTAAGTTTTTGCCTACTATTTCAGGCACATCTATTTCTTCCCCATCCAAAGTCCTTCAACCCCTCTTTTTTCTACTGTGCATATCGCCTAGCACTTTACTGTCTACTGCATCCTATTTTTTACTGATTACCTCATATGTGATAGCCTTACCTTTGTAACTAGGTTTTTTAATTCTAGTAAGCAAAAACTCTGATTCCTAGTTACCCTATATCTCCAATAGTCTATCTCACAATAAGTGCCCAGGAAATCTAATCTAAACAAAATGACCAGCTCCTTGTCCAAGTATTATCTTTGGTCTGACTACTGGAGTTACACTTTCTAGTTACTGTGGTGAATCTCTCTCAGGGTGGTGTGCTTCTTTGTTCTTTTCTCTGCCTGGCTCCCTACATACCTTTCACCATCTGACTTCTGCAGCTATCAAGCAGGCCCGAGCTCAGGAAATGCATCTTCTAGTTTTTAGTCAGCCTCTAGTATTTTTCTTTTTAGTCCTTTTCCCTGGAATAATTTCATCATCATCAACTTGGAAGAAACCTCAAAAACTATTCATATTTCTCCCCATCCTTATCATTCAGATTAGTATTGAGCCTCAGGCCAAAAACCTGACACAGATGCAATGTAGAGGAGAGACCATTTTATTGAACAATGGCAATAAGGAGTCCTATATTCATTTCAGTGTTAAATTCTTTGGAAACTGAATAGTCTATCGAGGTGACATTATTACTAGTGAGCATAGCCAATGCATCTTTCCCATACCTGGACAAGCTTGTTTGCAGTTCTGCCTTAAAAAAAAAAGTAAAAGTAGAAAATAAAACTAAATGATAGAACCAATTGTATGATGATGCTTTTTATTGATTTTTTTTGTTAGAGAGAGAGAGAAATAGAGAGAGAGAGAGAGAGAGAGAGAGAGAGAGAGAGAGAACACTGATCTGTTATTCCACTTATTGATGCATTCATTGGTTGATTCTTCTATGTGCCCTGACCGGCGATGGAACCTGCAACCTTGTTGTATCAGGATGATGCTCTAACCCACTGACCTACCTAGCCAAGGATGATGATGCTTTTTGAAAAAATTCATGTTTAATATTTTAACAGTGTTATCTATTTAATGAACGTAATGATTTGTCGGTATATTAGTCCTTTTTTATTACAAAACTAAAGTCATGCTCATAATTTTACAGCTTCGCAAGTCTGTTTTCAGCATCAGGGCAAGGAATCTTCTAGAAAAGGAGACCGCAGTCACTAAAATCTTAAGGTAACAATGTGTTTAAAAACAGTGGAATTATATTAAGCAAAAAAGAGCTTTTCTAATGAATGAAATTTCCGAGTATCAATATATGCTTTCTGCTAGAAAGTAGGTTTGGTTAACTATTTACTTATAAACAGTGTCAAATACCTCATTAACATTTTTCCTGAAACAGTAATATTTTACTAGCTCAATTGGCCATTTATTTTATTTTCAGGTACTTAAACACAAATTATAATTATAAACTTTTACAAAAAGGTGAAAATACTTTTATTCCTACAAGTCATGTCTTTTTTGATAGCCAAAGGAGTTATCATAATCTAAGGGGAAAATAGTAAAAGGGTAAGCTTTTTAAAAGTAATTGTGATTTATTGATTTTTTAAGAATCAATTTATTTAAAATCTATAAGAATCAAAAGTATATTCATTTTAGAATGCTTATAAAACATAGAATTTTAATGCTGAAATCTAAAATATACCTTGAAGTGAAATATTAGAAAGGAAAATTAAGCCACCCACTTAAGAGTATTTTACAAGAGTATTTTATAATATAAAGTAATGTGATCATTATAAAAATTCATAAGCACTTGTAAGTTATTGGTACATAATGACACAGTTAAATATTGGGAGCTGAAGGTAGAATGACCGACAAGGTAAATGGGTAAATGTATACCAGGAAGCTCTCTTCAAGCTTGTGTGAAGGGAAAGGAGTCCCTTCTACTCTACCTTCATTAATAGGAACAGTCATTAAAGCATTTCCCCAGAATGTAGCTCACTGTAACTTGTATAACTGTAATTTAAAATAACACAAATATATGATTTGACAAACTATTTCAACTTTTTAACAGTACCTGAAATTTATATGCCAAAACCAATTCTAACTAATCAAGACAATATTCAATGTATTTATTTTTTATGTTAGCTGGCGATTCATGCACAGGATTGAATATGTATTGGAGTACCTTTTATGAAATGAGAATAAATATTTCTGGGGCTTCTATATTATCATCACAGAATATGATGAGATGAACCTAAAAGGTCTTCTTGAAATAGGAACAGGAAAGCTTCTAAGCAAATTTATAACAACCTGTGTCCCAACTTCCATTTGCTTCCAACTGGCTCAATTCTGACATTACCATCAACAACACCATGAGGCCAGCCTTGAACACTATGTGGTACTACAGGGTTTTTATCAAGCTGTAACTGGACAAGTTCATGGCCAGGCCAATTCCTAGGGTCTTAAAGACTACCCCCAACTCACACAAAACAGATCATGTGCTGGACCAGCCCTGCAGGTGTGTCAGTGTGCTCATGAGGAAGAGAATCCTGCTTCAACCAGAAATGGCCTACAAGGAGATTGTAATACTCTGTATTCAGAATCTACCTGCAAAAGTAGGAACCCAAACAACCTTATTCACCTATCCAGAATAACTGCCTTTCCACTGATGTGAATTTTCCCTAGGGGTTCCCAGAGACTTTCAGAGTATGGGTAGACAGGGACACTTGGAAGGAAGCAATTTCTTTCAGAGCCCCACTTTCCTCTAAACTCATTCTTAAATTTGATCTTCCACTTTTTCTTTTCCAGATCCCTTTCCTCATTCACCTCTCTCCCAGTTTACAAAGGAAAGATGAAACTCTCACTCATCCATCTAAAAGAAAGGTGAAACTTTGTGTAGTGTATTGATCTGAAATGTAAAGTCCTCTGGGTTGCCAAACACAGGGACTATTCCCACATGGCTTTCAGGCAGCACCTTATTGTCCAGGTGACAAATTTCTGGAAAACCTCTTCCCAAGAATTTATCTACTTAAAGTTAAGCCTTAGAAATGACTTGGTTGTCACAACGGGCTGTTATTTGAATTGAAAAATAAAGTCAGACTTTTTCTGAGAGATTTAGCTGGTTGGTTTGGCAATGAACAGGACTGCCATAAAATTGAATGAATTGGATGGATGAGATTCTCCAAGGAAAGCAAAATTTAATTGTTGATTTGCAAATGTACATAAGTGGTTTTAAGAAGAAAATTTATGGGGTACTTGAGCAAAATAGTTAAGACTATCAGGGATTAGGGGCACCCTCAGACTTGTGCAATAGCTTGAGGGGCACCCAGAGGCAACAGCATAGCATACTACAAGATGAGAAGGAGCTACTTGAGGCTGCTTAAGCCCTCTCATCCAGTTAATCTCAGAACAGAAGAGGCTACAATTAGGAAAAAATTAAGATTTATTGTAAGAACACATATTCAATCTTTAGAATAGTCATTTAGCTCTTTTCTTCTGTAAAAAGTTTTCCTCATCTCTGCTCACTAGTCTGTACAATAATTAGGGACAAGTGCAAAATGTCAAAAGGATAGTTTCTTTGGTTGTACTTTTTTTTAACTAATAATGATAGTAGAATTAATAATAATAATATGCCTGCATTATAATGTAACCAGCCCATAAATTAGAAAGTCAAGAATAGATTGAGTCCATGTCTATGAGTTCATGGGATTTTTCTATGCTGTTTTTTTTTGTTGTTTTTTTTTTTAAGAAACAACAACTAAACAGAAAAAGAAAGAGAGAAATTCAAAAGAAATTTTTAAAAAAACCTTTACAGTCACCTCAGGACAAATGATTGAAAAAACCCTACACAAAATAGGGAAGAAGGAAAAGTTTTCACCACTCTCTGTGTCTTCTCACTCTCTCCAGAGCCTCTCCTCCACTAGGCTCTAGAAATTTATTTATTTTTTAATATATTTGTATTGATTTCAGAGAGGAAGGGAGAGGGAGAGAGAGAGATAGAAGCATCAATGATGAGAGAGAATCATTGATCAGCTGCCTCCTGCACACAACCTACTGGGTATCGAGCTTGCAACCCAGGCATGCGCCCTTGACCAGAATCGAACCCGAGACCCTTCAGTCCACAGGCCAGCATTCTATCCACTGAGACAAACCAGGTAGGGCAAGACTCTAGGAATTTAAAGATGGGAGGAGATGCTGTTAGAACAGCCCCCACCACCACCCCCCAACACCCCAATCTTGGGTAACACAGGATACTGGACTGGTATCAGAAGGCCTGGACTGGTGTCTGGTTCTGCTTCTCTATAACCTTGAGCAACTCACTTATCTGATTCTCAGTTTTCTCATCTGCCTTTGCCATGTAGACTGCCCAAAAATGTTGTCTGAGTAATCTGTTGATCAAGCAAAGTGAAATTTAATAGTTATTATAGTGAAGGAAACCAACACGTCAGCAGTCTTACTAATGTCTCAGAGGGGATAGTTAGGGTCGATATTTTTAAGGTTTTGGGTTTGAATTTAAGTGCCTTTAGGCAGGGATATCTGATTGAGAATGGGCAGAAAATTCTTGATAAGAGTTTAGATCATTTCACTATATATACAAATATCAAATAATTATGTTGTACACCTAAACTAATATAATGTTATATGTCAATTATATCTCAATAAAGAAAAAAGGAGGATAAAGACTCCCCAGAATGTGCAATCCTATCTAATAAAAGAGTATTATGAAAATTACCATCACACCCTCACTCCGTTAGTCCGTCACAATGATGGCGGTGGCCACGGAGCTGGAGTGAGCAGGAGGCTTAGGTTGCCCCCGGCGATGGAGGAAGCCAAGCTTCCTGCCTGTCCTGGCCGGCCCTGAGCTCCACTCAAGGCTACAAAGTTTCAATTATAGAAGTTAAATAAATCCCCGATACCTGCTTCCTGCCCACGGCCGTGGCCATCAGCCCCTCACCCAGGCTGACCAGACACCCCAATAGGAACCCCCACCCTAAAGGGGGTGTGGCCAGCCTGAAAACAGCCCTCAGCCCCTCACCCAGGCTGGGCACAGTCCCATGGGGTGAGGGTCCCCACTGTGGGGCTTGACCAGCCTGCAAACAGCCATCAGCCCCTCACCCAGGCTGGCCTGGCACCCCAGTAGGGACTCCCACCCTGAAGGGGGTGTGACCAGCCTGAAAACAGCCCTCAGCCCCTCACCCAGGCTGGCCAGGCACTCCAGTAGGGACCCCCACCTGATCCGGGACACCCTTCAGGGCAAACCAGCCGGCCCCCACCCGTGCACCAGGCCTCTATCTTATATAATAAAAGGGTAATATGCAAGTTGACCCTAACAGCAGAACGACTGGGAATGACTGGTCACTATGACACACACTGACCACAAGGGGGCAGATGCTCAATGCAGGAGATGCCCCCTGTTGGTCAGTGTGCTCCTACAAGGGGAGCTCTGCTCAGCCACAAGCCAGGCTGATGGCTGCCAGCACAGCGGTGGTGGCGGGAGCCTCTCCTGCCTCAGCGGCGCTAAGGATGTCCGACTGCAGCTTAGGCCTGCTCCCCGCTGGCAAGTGGACATCCCCCGAGGGCTCCAGGGCTGCCAGAGGGATGTCTGACTGTCAGCTTAGGCCTGATCCCCCAGGGAGTGGGCCTAAGCCAGCAGGTGGACATCCCCCAAGGGGTCCCAGGCTGCGAGAGGGCACAGGCCGGGCTGAGGAACCCCCCCAAGTGCACAAATTTTTGTGCACCAGGCCTCTAGTAGGTAATAAGCACCTGTTATGAACAGGTTACCAATACTGCTCTGGGGAGGGCAGCTCTGTGGGTGAGGGATGAGGAAGTGGTAACATACCTTTACCTCTTTACTATCTTCCATGCTCTTTCTACCGGTGTGGCTCCACACTGCAGTTATCAGTTATCAGATGGACTTTACACTTCTGTTTTTCACTTTTCTTCTTGATTTGGGGTGATTTCTGAGAAGAGGAAGAATAAATGGTGACTTTATGTTTCCATCTCCACTCCCGGAATTTATTTTATGCCTTTTGAATTTTCAACCATATACATGTATTGCTTTTAAAAAATAAATTCAACTAATTTTTAGAAAGAGTATTTTTTTAAATGGTTAGGATTGGTGGCTCTAGTCGGGCAGAGTCTTGGCCTGAGTCTTGATAAGTACAATTATTTATAGATGACTGGTTGACCAGTTGAGTGACCTATTGTCTAGAGAGGCTGGTTCATTAGTCTGT